TCTCTCTCTCTCTCTCTCTGAATAGAAACAATATGGTTGATTGTTGAGAAGTTGCAAAGTTTTGAGTTTCACCCAGTTTTACTTGAAAATGTTAAAAACCTGAAATTTTTCGAAAAGAGGAGTTAATTTTCTTCTTTTTGTGACAAATTTGAATTCCCCTTGGTTGGATTTCATTTGTCTAAAGTTTCGTTAAAATTAGCCCAAAGATGACTGGGTTACCATTTTTTAAATGGGTCTTCCTTTTTATGACACCAGTATCTTCCGTGCATTTAAAATAAGATAAGATTAGATAATACTTTACTACCCAGAGGGAAATTTTTCTTGGCTGTACTGGACCGTAAAAACACATGAATGTATACATAAAAAATATAAATTATGTATTACTCTCATTAAAATTCAATATGAAATGAGAAGTAAAGCTGACAAAATGTACTTTCACATCAGATGCTTCATTCAACCATATACAGTAATTTAATTACAAGACCTTAGGAGTTATATATAGATACATTCTCTAAAGAGCAACTCACATCTATGCTCGTTCTGGCAAAAGCCTTATGCTAGATGGTAAAAAAAATTATGCCTTCCTTGATTTATTTGTCAATTTCCCTGCTGTCTGTTTCCCTGGTTTTCTGTTTTTTTCTGTCTCTCCATCCATTTTGTTTGTTTGAGACTCTCTAATTCAAGTTTTCTGTGCTTACACTTTTCCTCTCTTTGAATTTCTTTGCTACTCTGTCTATCTCTCCTTTCCTTCACTTTTCTTTCTATCTATCCTTCTGTTTGCCCATTGTCCATATTATATACTCGTATATATAATATTATCTCTATCTCCATTACCATGCCCGGATAAAGCATAATGTCTAATGTCAAGGATGTAAGACTCCAATAAAAACCATTTAAAAAAATTGGCGTTTCTCGGAGTATAGCACCTAGCCATAAGTTCTCTCAAAGCCAGTTCTTACTGTTCTGTGAGTATAATTAGTACATGTTTACGTATGATAGCATCTCCATTTTAAGCGCTCCATAGACACGCCATGTCATCATGACAACAATGGCATCTTCAGTCTCCAGAACACTACCAAGTCAACTGTAAGGAGGAATTTAGTTTAAAAAACTGGCGAAATCGTAATTGTAAATCATTATATTCGTTTTAGTTTTAGTAGAGGTTTTACGGCGCTCGCAACTGTATAATAAGGTCATTTGAGCGCCAGAAGATTAGAGGTGTTACAAGAGAGTAACAAACATAAAAAAGAAAAAGGGGAGATAAGGACCCTAGATGTTTGATAGGAAAGAAGGAGCAAACCACACGAGAGCACCCGTCAACCACCCACTAATCATTACATTAATCACCTGAGGCAAACTTGGTGTAAGCCAATGTTATTATACTCATTGAGGACGTGCATTATTGTCATCTAACAAGGCTCGAAGACGTGTTGTTTTAAAGCACTTTAAATAAAGAAAAGAAGCATAACCTGGAGGCTAACACGTGCTTTTTTCAAATATAATTCTTTATTTGAAATTTGAACACACAGGCACCAAACATGCATTTATCTTTCTGAATTTTGTAGTATTATGATGGTCTAAAATATTTCTCTAATTGTAACAACTGTCGTAAAAAAAACTATGTTGAGCTGTATGGCTGAATGTTTTTGGTTTTTTTTCCCCTTCTACTTAATTATTAGTCTTTGTTCTTTTATAATTGCCTTTTCTTTTTAATTTGGCAAGATGTTACACCTTTGGAAATACCTTTCTGTTGCGCAGGACACTTAACAAATGAACACAAACGAAATAACCAACGTACCACAGGGGTGTTGGGTCTAAAGCGTGGTTAAGAAACCTTGAGTAAATCCTTGGAGGAAACTACAGTAATTTCCAGCAAGGCCTTTAGTGAGGCTTGTGGGATCCTTGGAGGAAACTACAGTAATTTCCAGCAAGGCCTTTAGTGAGGCTTGTGGGATCCTTGGAGGAAACTACAGTAATTTCCAGCAAGGCCTTTAGTGAGG